GTTCTCTTCATTTTTTATTGGACAAAAAAAAAAAAAGCCATGTGTTTTCTAAATTATTATTTTTCAACCTTCATTTCTCTTCTGAAAATATTAGAATTCCGATAGATAATTTTGTTTTTTAAAAACTTGCAATTAGTTATGTTTTTTGCATTTATTTTTGTATGTATCCTATAAACTCATTGGATTTGGTTCCTCTTTAATTTTAATCTCTCCAATTCCTTCTAATCCATGTGTGTAGTGACAAGCTCATTTTATTTATCCTGAATTCATGATGGATAATTGTTATAAAAGAAATTGAAATGTAGCATTTTTTTTTCCATAGAACTACAGAAATTAGAAACTCGTTTTCACCGTCGATTTCCATTTTTTATTTTCCTTTGGAAAGCGGTCTTAGAAAGTCATATTTTACTAAAATAGATTTGTCAGTTGATTAAATTTTAATTCAAATGTGATTTAAATTTAAATTAGTTATGTAGACTGTATCAGATTATCAGGTTGGATATCGAATTCTTAATAAATTTAGGTATGAAGCATAAAAATAAAATTCGTTGAATAATCAGATCAATTTTTTTTAACCAAATTCATATAGACTATAATCTAATTCGTCAACAAGTCTACCTAAAAATATATATCCTCCGTCCTAGTGGGCTTTTGTTGCTTAAATTCGAAGCTTCTCAATGTTAACACACACCCAGGGCCTGGGTTTCACCTCTAGGCTCTAGGAACTATATTGCACCATGTGTTGCTCAGACAGAAAACTAATCTGGGAACAAAAACATGAACATGGAAAACAACAGCAAGTTTGGGGAAGAGAAACAATGGTGAAGAAAATGAACTCAAACATGGCCAGGACCTCTTTTGCTTGGCCCAGAAGCCAATTTGGACTTCAAGTTCCTTACAGAACGTCTACCAGTCGAACTGTTGGAAGAGAGAGCGAAAGGGCTTGTACCTTTAGAATCAGCTCCTTCACCTTCGTCACGTCTAGAGATTCTGGTGCCTGACCATGACACAAGAGCACGGCAATGGAAGATGCTGAATTCTGTAATCATTACCAGAATTATGAAACCCAACACAAAACAAAGATTCCTCATGGATGTTGTTGAACTCACCTTTCTCATTGCCAACTCTAAATGCTCCAGTCTGGAATTCTAGTATCGAGGTTGTTGATGAAGCAATGCACAACTAGTCCTTTGTATATGCAACTAGCGCTTTGTATATGCAAAGATTTGTGCGAGGACAGTGAAGCTAGAGCAATAACCTTACCAAGAATTTGACTTGGCTCCGCCCTATTTTTCTTTATGCCTTACATGAGCTGTAGTAGTCTGGTGGTGGAGGACCAACTTGGAAGAGTCACTCAACTTGTTAGCTAAAACAACACATCACAGAAACTGTCACAACGAAAAGAAAAAGCATGTCAATTGTTCTGGTGAAATGTCAAACAAATAACAACCTGCAAGGGAATCACCTACAGGGTGAAGAAAGAAAATAAGAATAATACTGATTCCACAGCAATTATCAAGGAAAATTGATAATAAAAATGATCCACAACAGATAACATAACACCCTTTTGAACACTTAATATAATAGCAAATGCATACGGAAATAGAGTAAAATGCTGGAAGAAATATGTCAAAGAACAGAAAAGTAATGCTATCACAGTTTTGAGTACTAGCCTACCAGTCATCCAATGCATTGCCCAACCCTATGCTACATCCCAAGGTGGTCCCCAGATAATAAACAATGCATCACCTGTGAACTACAAATATAAAAAATAAATCTTTTCAGAAGTATATCAGTAACATGGAGACAATAACTGTAGTTAAAAAAATCAGTTCTGAGCATCTATATGGTTTAGAATTCAACAAAGTTTCTCCAGAAATCATTTCCGTTTCATAAAACAAGAACAACTTAAAAAGTGAAACCATTACACGTTTAGATCCATTCAGGTGACATTGTGAACAAGTTCACCTGGCATCTGCTCTGTCTGGAGAAGTATCAGAATTACCATCTAAATTAAATTGAAACAACAATACGTAAAGGTTCAAGTTCGTATAAAATTATTTCAATAAGACAAAGCATAGATGTAGAATTGCAAATGAGATAACAGGCTACAAAAACATCAAGACTACTTGTTAAGAATGTGTTACAGTCAAGCAACACATAACAGAGAGCATGTGTAGAACGATCGTTTAACAAATTAACTCATATTTCTTTTTATGCTTTATTTTTTAACAGGTCTGTACCACATAAAACATAATCTTTCTTTTTCAGCAAAGAAGGCACTATGATAGAATTGAATGGACTCCATTAATTTCTGTCCAGAAATAACACTTGCAAAACATAACACGAAGATGATTATAAGGTATAGTACAAGTTAACTATGCACGATGGTGTATTGTAAAATTGCAATAACATAATGGGAACATATATCCTCCAGGTATATGCTTTTCCTTAATTTCTCATTATTCAGCCCCCATTAATTATTTGTTCCTCCTAAACGCACTAAAAAGTGAAGAGCAATGAGTATTATGTATATCCAGTGCTCGAGATCAGTCTTGTTCCGTGGCACTTTATTTCCAGGATACTATGTTGGTATATGCCAATGATGGTTATAATTAGTTGTCGTCATTCGTCAATTTCATTGCACATAGTCATTCTTCAACCGCAGCAGGAGAGAAACATTAATTTTATAGTTTACAATGCAGAAACAGCTGGAATTTAGATTAACATCTAAAGAAATTGAAATTGGGCATAAGCTGGTAAGGAAATATGGAAAGATTAGTATTAAGGATATCAAGAAGCGGAATGGGGAATAGGGTCAATGAGCAACTCCCTTCTCTTTGAATCCCTTGTCAGTTTATACAACATAACCATAAAACTTCACCATTCATTCACTCAATTAGTCTATGCTTACACGTGCAAACAAGCAAGCCTCTAAAGAGCCACATAAACCTAACTGGACCACCGTTTAGATGTGCCAACCCACAAACTTGGTTTAGGTTTATCGTGACATATATATCTGTTCATGAGTTAAGTACATCATGACAGCTAATAGTATGTCTGGTGGATGCCGTGGTAGAGTCTAATTATATGGAATAAATTTGATAAATCTATGTATGAGTCAGTAATGTTGGAACAATTCAAATAATACTGATTCGTAATCACAGGCTTACATACCCAATTATAACCTGTTATCTATCTATTTCACACTGCTATAGCATCACACTTCAACAACAATTCCACAGCTTCAAGAATAAAATGAAGACTATTTGCCCAGAGGAAATTAAGGCAACTTATTTCCCTCTTTGGGAAAATATAATGAACTGGGTAAAAGCTAAATAGAGGAGGAAAGGAAGAGAGTTAACCCCCTATCTATATAACGATTAGAAGTTGGGTTCCAAACCTTGCTTTTCTCGAAGGGGCCAAAGAAATGTCTCCACCTGCTGCCAATAGTTTTTCTACTGAACCGGTCTTTCCTCCCCTCCGTTTGTTTTAGCAACTTATCCTAAGGTCTCCTCGCCAAGAGCTTCCTGGCGACGTATCAAGCAAACAGCACAGTTCAATTCCAACAACATACACAATCAGTGCGAACATTATTTTAGAGAAAACAAGCAAAAGCACAAAACTTCAATTTACTTTATACAATAACGCAATGTTTAATCAACAGACTAAGAGATTAAATATGTTCAGACCAAGAAAAAAAGAAGGCGAAGCACATTTCCACAAGAATTTGGGAATTAACCAAAATTATTTATAGAAGGTAATAACATCATAAATAATAAATCCATGAGCCAAATCCATAGAGGTAGCACAAGATCTCGACATCACAAAGTAGTGGTACAAATTAACCGCAACCCTAATATCATCAGATACAACTAAATAAAAACCCTAAAAAAACCTCAACAATTTCAAGACTCAATCTTATCAGATGAGATTTCCTCACTGGAAGCAGCGCTAGTGGGTTCCACAACAGCCGATTCCGAAGCTTTCTCAGGCGTCAAAGCCGCAGCAGATCTGGACTTCACAGTCTCAAGCATCAGCTTGCTGATCTCCTTGGAGTACACCTGTAAGACCTCGATTCCATCGTCATCTGAAGACGCCGACGCCCCAGCTGCCGCAAAAGCCGCCTCCTCGATGCGCTTCGCCACCTCCGAAGCCTCCTCCGGCGGCAGCGTACCGTAGCGTTTGGACAGCACCGATTGGGTGGAGAGAGTTTCGATCAAGCGGTTGACGATGGCGTCACGAGTCCGCTGTGTGGGTGGCCAAATGTTGAATGTCATGCTGGTAGGCTTTTTGGTCTCAATATGTTGTTGGGCCTGAGGTTCTGTGGTTTCCGCCATTGTTGTTGTCGTTGCTGGGGCTTTTGGCTCTTCGTCTGGGGCACTGACCACGTTTTCTTCTTGGAGGTTTTCGGTCATTTGGAAGAGAGAGAGAGAGAGCGAATATATAATTGAGATTGCACTGTGTGTGGAGAGGCTTAACAATGGCGGTGTGGTGGGGGTTGGGGGGTATATAGAGATGCGTATGGGCCTGCCTTTGGTGCTCTATAACGACGCTTTACCTTAAATGCTAGATCTGATGTGAGACTATGTAGCTTTTTTTTTTTTTTTAACTATGTTAATTTTATTTCCAATCTTTTTCTTTTAATTTCAGTTATTTTTGTATTTTCAATTTTCCAACGTTGCATTAATCGAATCAGTTCAAAACTAAAACTAACACTATCTCTTCCAACAATGATCGAAATTCACACAAAACTCTCGTATGTAATGAAAAAATCATAGAATTTGTAAACGCTTAGTCTCGCTTTCTTATACTCAAATTTTTAATAGAGATCAACCATTTTTTGTTTATTATTGTACAATTGTAGTTTTTTTGAAGAAAAGTTTGGTCAAAAGATAGTATTGTGACCAATATCAGAAAAGGTAAACTATTCTAGAACAATGCTAAATGAATTTAAAAATTATATTTGATAATTTCAACTATTGAATAGGTAGTGGTCCCAATAAATACTGGGACCCACAGTAAAATAAATGGTTCAGATTATCAAGTTTAATTTTTAAGTTCATGTAACATTTCTCATTATCCTAATGGACTTTGAGTTTGTCACTTGTTGTACTTTTGTCTTTAAATTTTTAATTTTGTTCTTAAAGTTCACACATTAAGCTAATGTTATCATTTACACTAACTTCCGTTCAAAAAAGTGAAAAAATGTCATGTGTCAAGCACATGAGAGTATTGAGAGGTATTTTTGTCATTATACTCTCAAAACATTGGATATAAATAAGAAACAAAAAAAAATACCTTCCCCGTCTCTCTCTCTCTCCCCTATCGACGACCACGCTGTGTTTCGCGCTCTCTCTATCTTTCTATTTTTCCCTCTCTTTTTGTGCAAAACTCCACCATTGGAATTGACCATCACCATACACCATTGCTGGAATCGACGTTGGAATCGATTGCCACCACTGGAATCTATTTTTTCTCACTTTTCTCTTCTCTCTCTACTTTCTTATATTCTCGCTACCTCACACACAAATACAGTACACACCCTAACCTAAACAGACATTACAAAACTTATATGCTTGACACCACCTCTATCAACCCACCTGAGCAGGCTCCCCCCTTCCCCCAAGAGTTTTTTCTGTTCTACCTCCTATCCCACTGCCAATCACTCCACCCCCCCAAAAGTCTCTTTGATTTTTATTTCATTTTTGTTTTCCATTTCAATTTTAATTTTGTTTATCATTCTATTTGTAATAGATGGTGGCGGTATTGGTGGTGTGTGTGACTGTGTTTTGTGTGCAATGAGAGAGAGATACAGTTGCTGAGTTTAGTGCTTTTGTGGAGATCTCTCTCTCTCTCTCTCTCGTAGAGCTTAGTAATAAATGGTTGTTGGGTTTGTATATTTGTGTGCGTGACTATGTGTTTGTGTTGTGGGTGTGTATTTGTGGTTTTATGATAGGGTTTCCGATGGACAGATATGTTGGGTTCGGGGGGAGAGGATGGAGATGTAGTAATGAGAGAGAGAGAGAGAGTTGTGTTGGGTTTGGGGGTGGGGGTGGGGGTGGAGATGCAGTGTCGAGAGAGAGAGTCAGAGCTATGTTAGGTTTGGGTTGGAGACGCAGTAACCAGAGAGGAAGAGATTGTGTGTTAGGAAGATGTGCGGGCTCGATCCTGCACGATATATAAAATATTGGGAACAGATCTCTCCCCTGGTGAACTCTGAGTGAGCCGGTTGAGTGGCCAAACACGCTGCTTGAAACAACCTTCGAGGCACGGTGGCAACCTGGAACGGCAAAGGAAGGCCTTGGGAAAGGAAGAACGATCCTGTACGTGTGGAAGGTATTTCCTGGAACAATGGAGAACAAGTTAGAAGGGCGCCAAAGTGTTTTCCGGCGTATCCCCTCCGACGATCTAGTCAGTCTTTGAATGAGATAGAGGAAGGAGAAAACACTGAGAAGGATGTTTTTTAGTAGAGAGTTTGTGATTGCATACCCGCTTTGTCTTTTGGGAGGGGTATTTATACCTTAGAAGATCATGATTGCTGTCAGTGTGGTCAGTAGGTGATCATCAGGCACAGGTAGCGTGTGTAATCATTTGATGAGGAATGTCTTCTCTAATTGACTGCTCGGGGTCCCGAGCAATCAATGGTGAGTTGTCGGGACGCCGACGGTACAATATGCTCCTTTCGGGAAGGATGCAATAAATGCTCTGTAATAGGAGCATTTATTGCCTTTCATATCCGAACCTTACCGCATTGAATGCGGTCTCGTCAACAGAAGGGTGCAATTAATTGTTTGCTTTCCCAAGTCACGTGCCAGCTACGGCATGCGGTTTGTCTGCTTCTGATGTGACATTATTTACCACGCGTCCGTCCCTTATTGGCTGTGACGTCGGTATTCCAGAACGTTCTGACATTACTTGTGTAAGACGAGGTCATGATGAATAGTCCAGACTGGCATAGGCTGATGTCCAGTACGTCAGTAGCTTTATCCGGGAGTAGAGGAAGCGTCCAGCATGGAGTGACCCTCGGCACCGAGGAAAGGCTTACCTCGGGGACCGAGGGTGGTATGTTTCCGAGGTACACGTGTGACCGAGGACACGTGTTTGTTGTATAATATACCGAATGTGTGATCCTATATGAGAGGTACCTCGGGGTAAAGGACGCTCTTCGCCGATGGTGCTTACATCCGGGCAACACTGTTCCAAATACCCCGAGGACACGTGTCTTCATCTTAGGGCTTTTCAGAAGAGTCCCATCAACTGCCCCCCAGCCTTCGATCTTCTAACACCGAGGACACGCGTTGTAAGGAGACGAAGGGTTTTCTAACTACCATCCGTCCTTCATTATGGCCTCGAGCAGCTTTCCCCGTCTTGGGATGTCGTGCGCATTAAATGCGCTGTTTTTGGTTCTCCCGCCCAATGATGACAGTTTTCCCCCCTATATAAAGGGGGTTCTTCTCCGGTTTCTATCGTTTTGCCACTCCGATCTCTGACCCAGAATACGCCTTTTCTGATCTGCTCGTCGGAGTTTTTGTTTCCTCAGCCATCGTCGACAGCATCTTCTCTTTAAAACCTCAGTCAGTAGAACCCATTGTTGACTCCTGATCCTTCCGGTGCGAGTTATTTTTCAAAGTTTTTCCCGAAAAACTCCGTTTTCGGCGTCTTCTGGTGAGTTTCACAACCTTCTTCTTTATCATCCCCCTAGCCTTCTTGCTTTCCGATTGAACAGTGGTGTCATCCGGTCGGTTCGTCTTGATTCAAACCCTCGGGGAACTTCCTCAGGTTTTCAAGAGAGAACACCTTTTCCTTCCCTTTCTTTTAGAGATGCCTCGTCGTCGCCCTGTTCCCGAGAATCCATCGGCTGGTCCCTCGGGGTCAGAAAAATACAAGGTGACAGGCGAGGCACAGATTGATAGGTTCAGGGCGAAGTATGGCATCCCCCCGAGCGTGGACGTAGTGGGCTTTAACCCTTTGTTGAACTCTCATACCTTCGGGGCCGCGGATGCCATGCCTTTTTATACAAAGGCCATCATAGAGGGTGGCATTAGGTTTCCCTTACCCCCCCTGCTTCTTCAGTTACTGTCTCGCTTCCGTCTCTTCCCCGGGCAATGCTGCCTCAACGTCTTTCGGATAATTATGGGGGTCCTAGAGCTCAATAGGCGCCTCGGGGTGAATATTGGGCTCAATGATCTTCTTTTCTGTTACTCCCTCCTAAGAGTCATGCCCCACCAACATTTCTACCTAAAAGCCAGGGACCCCTCCATGTACCTTGTAACCCATCTTCCTGATTCGGACAAGGGGTACAAGGACGACATCTTGATCTTCAAGGGATGTTGGGAGAGGGGTGTTGGTCCCGAGTACAATGACTTACTTTGCCCTCGGGAATGGAGAACGACAAGTACGTCGGTTCCTTCGGGTTCTTTATTGTTTCTTGGGACTTCTCATGCTTATGACAATCTTTTTTTTGTGCAGATATTCCTTCTCGGGAAACAGCTCCACCCCCTCGGTCGCTGGTCAATTTTGCCGACCTAATAACGGTTTGGAGTTTCACGGGCGCCGACGGATTTGGCCGAGCTGCCCATAATCTGCTGCACTATACCCCGGGTATAAGAAGTTCTCACAGCTCCCTCAACCTTTCGAGCCTTCGCAGTGGTCAGAGCTCTTTGATCAGGCGGCGAGGCTAGAGGTCGAGCAGAACTTGGAGGAAGACCCGGATCGGGCTTCAGAGGGAGAGGTAGAGGGAGTTGTTGAGGAGGTCGGGGTCAGAGAGGACGTTGCTCCTTCGGACGCCGAGGTGGGGACTTCGGGAGGCGACTTGTGGCCCGATTTTCAAATTCTCCAATCTTTGGACGCCGAAGACGCTCTTGAGGAAGCGATGTCCAACGCTCCTCGTATTAATTTGGGGTTTCTTAGGCAGAGGCAAACCCTCGCAGCCGGGAGAGGCCGAGGGACGGCCGGCGGTACTCCGGCAGGAACCAGCTCTGCCCCATCATCAAGGGTTCCTGATCGGGGTCAGGTGCGAGATCGGGACCCTCAGGTGGAGGAGGAGAGGAGGGTGAAGCATCGGCACGATGGCCTTAGCCGAGGACCCAGGGTGCCCCCCGCTCAGCAGCAAAGCGGGAGGGATCGTGGATTACCCTCTGCTCCCTCACAACAGCAGCAACAGCAGCAGCAAACTCGACAACAGCAGCAACTACAGCAGCCCCGACAACAGCAACAGCAGCAGCAGCAACAGCAACAGCAACAGGCTACTTCCCTCCCATCCACAGTGGAGGCCGCGGTGTGGAATCCTCGGGCCACTGATCACATGAACCGAGTGATCAGGGTCGACGATTCCATTCTGCAGGATCCCCATGTCGCCTATGCAGTGAGTGAGACATTGCATTTTGAGGCTGACATGGAGGCTCATCGGGGGCGA